CCAGTGCAGAGCTGATCCGGGCTGCGCCTCCCCAGGGCTGACGTCTCCATTTAGGGAGCGCTCCTGAAGCTAATGGCCAGTGACAGCACCATTTGAAAAACACAGAAACACTTAACGGGGAGGCTGTGATCTGCCAGCCCCGTAAGCTGCTGGTTAGCAGGGAAATCACGCTCAGGCTGCACCCGAGCCCCCCTCGGCTCGCCCCCTATTCGGGGCTATCGCACTTGGAGCTTTCATGGTTCTCTGGGAGCAGTGGGGGGCGCCGAGGGGGCCGCGAGCGGTTTGTCTGCCTCGCAGCCTCTGGGGAGGCCCAGGCAACACAGCAGCCTTCCCGTGTGGATGGGAAATGGATGGATTGGAAGGAAAAACGGCCCCTGTAGAGTCCTAGTGTCTCAGCTCAGTGGCTTCCTCCCCTGCCTCTTTGTGTCCCACCCACCCAACACCCAGGCCAAAGGAGCGCATGCGCAGGTCTGCCTGGGCGCCTGGCCTCGCCTCCCGCCGCAGCCCCCGTGACATTCGCGCTGAAACCTCAGACTTACCCCAAGTGAGACCGAGTGTTCCGGGTCCCCCCATAAATATGCTCACCAAGCAGCTCAGGCCTGAAGGGGCCTGGGGCCGCCAGCAGCTTCCTCTCACACCCCACTCGTCTGCAGATCTTGCTTCCCCTGGCGCGGTCACCTTCCTGACCGTCATTCACTACCTGAAGGGTGGCAGTGGCCACCTAGCTGGCCTCACTGTCTCTGTGATTACCCGCTGCCCCTTCCGTCTCTTGCACACCGCACTGTGAACCAGGTTAGACACACCCCGATGACATTGTTCAGGGCTCAGAATTCTTGCAGGGAGAGGAAAAGTTGCCCTTACCTGGCCAACCAGGACCATGATCTGGCTCCCTCGGTGGCCTCTCCTACTGGGCCTCACCTTGGTCATGCTACTGTGACCACACTGGCCTCATTGCTGTTTGGTGACTGTGCCAACTAAGCTCCTGCCACAGGGCCTTTGCACGTCCGGTTTCCTGTGCTAAGGATGTTTTTCCTCCCCATATCCAAATGGCACCGTCCCAAATGGTCATTTCCTCATTATTGGTATTTGCTTCCTTAATTATGAGTGAGAATTGAGTATGTTTTCACTTATTTTGTTCTTTCATATATAGGTTTCTCCCTAATTTTTTTTTCTTTAAGATTGATTTATTTACTTATTTGGAAGAGTTACAGAGAGGGAAGAAAAGAGAGAGAGAGAGAGAGAGAGAGAGAGAGAGAGAGAGAGGTCCTCCATCCATTGGTTCATTCCCCAAATGGCCGCAATGGCCAAGGCTGGACCAGGCCAAAGCTAGGAGCCAGGAGCTTCATCCGGTCTCTCATGTGGGTTGCAGGGCCCCAAGCACTTGGCCCATCTCTGCTGCTTTTCCAGGCGCATTAGCAGGGAGCTGGATTGAAGTGGAGCAGCCAGGACTTGAACCAGCGCCCATATGGGATGCCAGCATTGCAGAGGGCAGCTGAACCAGCTGTACCACGGCGCCAGCCCGTCTCCCTAATTTTTTCAGCTTTCCTTTGGGGTTATTATATAATCTGTTTCTTATGTCACAAATATATTTTTCCAGTTTGTTGTTGGCCTTTCGACTTATTCCAGAATTTTTTGTTCTTGTGAACTTTCTTGGGCAGGAGGTCATACATAAGCTTTTAATTTTTATGGAGTTGGACTCACCAGATTTTTTCTTTGTTGATTCTGCTTGTCTTTTTGAAATATTTTTACATTTTCAGAAAATAAATAATTTATTTAGACTTTTTCACATCTTTGCTTCATCTGGAATTTGCTTTTCAACATTTTTTATTTTATATAGTTCATGTTTTTAAAATTTCCATTGCAAAATCACCATGAAATGTATCTTGTAAAGTTTTTATTCTTCTGTTAAAATGGCAATGGAAAGGAAAAAAAAATTATCTTGGAATAACAAGAGTGTTTAACTCCAACATGAGTCTTTTAAAACTTGAATTTGTTTCCTAAGTATTTTTTTTAAGGTTTATTGATTTTTATTTGAAAGGCAGAGTTACAGAGAGAGAGGAAGGGAGAGACAGAGAGAGAGAGGTCTTCTACCTGCTGGTTCTCTCTCCAAATGTCTGCAACGGCCAGGGATGGACCAGGCCAGAGCCAGGAGCCAGGAGCTTCTTTCTGATCTCCCACATGGGTGCAGGGGCCCAAGCACTTGGGCCATCTTCCACTGCTTTCCCAGGCCATAGCAGAGAGCTGGATCGGAAGTGGAGCAGCCGGGACTTGAACCGGCGCATATATAGGATGCCAGTGTCGCAAGTGGTGGCTCTACCTGCCATGCCACAGTGCTGGTCCCCTCAGTATTTCAAACTGAAATGTGAGCAGGCAGTGAGACTAGTGGTTAAGACACTTACGTCCCACATCCGAGGGCTTGACTGGCTTCTCAACTTCCCAGGAAGCAGCAGTGACAACTCCAATATTTGAGTTCTTGCCACCCACATGGGAGACCTGGATTGCATTTAGGAAGTGAACCAGCTGATGGGAGCTCTGTCTGTTTCTCCCTCTGAAATAAGTAATAAAAATTAAGAAGGTAAGCATCTTGAAAATATTATAGGAGCATATGCTGTTTGTAGGGCACGTGTGCATTTCGTGAGCTATGTTGAGCACCTGCTAGGTGCCAGCAGCTGCGCTGGTCACTTTCCCCTCATCACAGCCCCGTCTGGTAGGAACTGAACGTGCCCTTGTCTTCCGGGAGGACTTCCGGGGGCTTGCCTAGATACTGGGTCAGCTTGGAGCCAGGACGCGACTCCACGTCTACAGTCCAAGATGGGAGCAGAAGGCTTAGCTCATTGACAGCGAAGTCCCCTTGCACATACATCAAACTGAGGCTACTCAAATTCACAGAAAAATAACAATAAATAGATTTAAAAGGTATGCTTGTTGGTGCAAAAATTGTTTGAAATCCATGCACAGGTTTTTCATAGTGTGCATTTCCAATGACCTTTTTGAAGACGCCTCGTGCCTCTGCTTCTCCTGCCTCTGCGGTTTAGAAGAGGAGTTTGCACCCCTCGCCTTTCCCCATCAAACGCCACTGTCTCCGCGCCCGCGGTCCTAGGCAGCTCTCTGATTCTCATCAGCTGCCTCCCAGTTGCCATACGCAACGACCAGTTCTCAGCACCTTCCCTCCTTGGCCTCTTGCAGGTCTTCCATTGTAATAATACCCTTTCCCCGGGATCCTCTCTGCCCTTAGCTTGCCTGGTGTTGCTCTCTCCCGATTCTTCTAAATCCCCTTTGGAAACAGCATCAGGAGCAAGCGTATTGTTGGCAGGTAGGAGTAGGCTACCTACCCACAGGTGGTTCCGTGAATTAACAAGGTAACACCTAGCAAACATCCGTGGTGTAGAAAGTACTCAATGGTTTTTATTACTGTTATATTTTTCCACTCTCCATAGTCTATCCTTTGATTTTTTTTTTTCAAGCTCCCTTCCCTAAGCTTCAGGTCCTGTACTTTTGACTGCTGCTGGCCCCGACTTTGAATCCTCGGGGGCTTCTCAAGGTCATCATATCCAGATGGAAATGGTCATCTTTCCAAATCCTCTCACTTTCCCTGTCAACCACATTCCCAGCCATCCCCATCCACGCCTTCTCCCACCCCTCCCCCACTCACTATCTGTCGCTAGCCTGACAACTGGACTCAGAGCTGGAGCCGGGATCGCGGGTTCTGATGTCGGGTGGACATGCCCCACCCTGTAATTCAGCTGTTTACTGGGTGTGTGACCTGGAGCCAATGACGTAATCTTGCCCTCAGTTCTACCTTCTGTAATTGGAGATAGTAAGAATACCCACTTCCCATAATCCTTGGGAAGATTAAATATTATAACGCAAGTAAAGAGATTTCTAGGGTGCCTGGCACATAGCAAATCCATAGTAAAAGTCAGTTGTGATACTTATTACTGTATCTGTTGCTGCTATTATATTATTAGTTTGCTGTTACCTCTTGTAGTCACCATGTTTGAAACACATAGAGCTTTTGTGCACTTGGTTTTGGCTGTGAATAACACAGAATAAGGAACCCGAGTTTTAGTTACTTGTCTCTTCTCATTAGGTGGAATTAGCAGGTGTGTGGGCTGTCATATGTGTGGGCACACACACACACACATACATGTACACACAACGGCTGTAACTCTGTCTCAGACCAGGTCCTTTCTGTCTAGAAGGACCAACGGGATGGGTAAGAAATGGTGATGGCGTCCTCCCTAGACACTGACTGCCCACACCTGCCAAGCACTGGTTTCTTTTTGCTCCAATACCCTTCCTGCCTACTTGGAGAGAGGACAGCTGATGTTACCTCCTGGTACTTTGAAATTGAGGGTCATGACCAATGCAACCAAACAGGGCCTTGTGGTTGCCCAGGCATGGCAAGAACCAAATCCAGGTCTCGTGGTTGGGATCTTCCTCCAACAACTGGAGTTTACAAACTGTACCTGTTGCCCTGCAAAACATCTGGCATTCCTGATTGATTGAGAACCAGAGGATGGCACTTTGAGGGCTCTGCTCCTGTAGATATTGCTGTCTCCCAGGTGATGTCTAAATGGGTCATCCCTCCACCTCTTGCACCACATGGAACCACTCAGGTATCTTAAGCCCATCTCTCCCTACAGGTGAGCTTGGCTAACTCCTTGGGGTGGGGTGGGGGCCACGCCACATACCACTAGCCCCACCATCTCATGCCTTTGCCATGCATCTGCTGACGGTTCCCAGGGACACCAGGGTCAACTCATGGGCTGCAGAGGTGAAAGGTCAGGAGCCCAAGGTCACGAACCCAAGGTCATGAGAATTTTGCATTTTCTGTTGCTCTCATCTCTGATCATTGAAACGACCTCGCTGAGTTTCCCCAAAGGGAAGGGATTGGAGGAAACCACGCCCAGTTTTGTTTGATTCGGTTTTGCTTTGGCTTTGGTTTCTGTTTTTTTTTTTTCCCACCCACCACAAGTTCTTTTCTTCCCCTCTCATAGTGTGGGCGAAATGCTGAAAACTTCGACCGGTTTTTCACCCGCCATCCACCAGTCCTAACACCTCCCGACCAGGAAGTCATCAGGAATATTGACCAATCAGAATTCGAAGGATTTTCCTTTGTTAACTCTGAATTTTTAAAACCTGAAGTCAAGAGCTAAGTAGATGTGTAGACCTCCGTCTTTCATTTCTGTCATTCGAGCTCAACGGCTATTGTGGTGACATTTTTTTTTCATTGCCGAGTCGCATCCATGTTTTGTTTTCCGGAAAGGCTAGAGCGACCATGTTTCAGAACCCAAATGTCCTCCAGTAGTTTGGAGCATCTCTATGAGATGGGATTATGCAGGTGGCGCCTGAACCTGCTGCTGCATAATTGAGACGTATCGGAGTCCTCTCTCGGTTTATTCTCCCCAGCATGCCCGCTAAGGAAATCCAGCGGGGAGAGAAAATGCCTGCTTTCTCTCCTCCTCTTCTGCACCGCTGTTTCACCCTCACCCTGACCATTCGATCTAGACTCTTCCCACAAAATGGGTGGCTAATCGGATGCTAGCAATACCCTTCCACTTCCAGGCCTGGAGCTTGGCTTATGTCCAAATATACGGTTGCTTTGGTCTGCAGGGAATCCCTCCATTCTGCCCGCTCTGGAAGCAGTGGAGCTTTGCAAAGAACACGCTAAAAATACAATTTTGCTATTTTTTTTTTTAAACTCAAAGTTGAGAAGACTATTTAAGTCCTTCGAAAAATCTTAAGAGCATGTTTTTAGATAGTTTCCATCTAAAAACACTTCGAGGAGTCAAAATGCAACCACGCCGTCATTTCTGAAGTTGTATGTCGCTCGTCACCCTTTGTCCCCAAACAACTTGGAAAGGGCATTTGGCACCACTCCCTGAACCAACATGGTCGCTCTAGCAAGACCCCCAAAGGCTGTGATTTTTACGTTACATTTCAAACATGATTTGCTTTGGGGTTTTATTTCTGTTGTCGTTCCAATGCAAAAAAAGAAAAACAAAAACTAAAACAAAAAGGTTACTCACTTTGTTACATATGCTTTAAAATACATGTCCAGTTGTTGCCAACCACATTGATCTGCTTTGATTTAAGTGGGAAGACAGCTGTGGATCCCAGCAGACCCACGCCTGTGGGGATGGGATTTGTCTAGGTTTATCGCAGGCTTTGGAAAGCTAATTAAGGACTCTGAGAACGACACCATTTCTTGAAACAAAGACAGTTTGTGTTCCTCACTTTGATGTTGTTTTGCAAGATGTTTGAGGTAATGTTCATTTGTATCTGGATATCTGTTATGTGCCATTTTTCTTCTAGCATCGGGATCAAATTTAAAAAAAAAAAAAGAAAAGAAGAAGAAATGCTATTTCAAGGAAAACCTCTCTCTTTGAAAAACGTGAGCCCAAGCTACAGAGTGGGGCCAAAACTCAGGAGAAAGGAACTAAACCCGAGTATAAGCTTAGAGGCAGGGGCTGTGGGACTCCCAGGGTCTCCTGGTGGCCTGTATGGGGCCGAATGACTTGGCTGAGCCTCTCCTGATGTTGGAATCCAGTGCCACAATCCCACTAGAGTCAAGGTTAGAGGCCAGCTGGGATCATAACCAGGGTTCTCGGTTTTCTCATCAACATCACCACTCTTCCCAGCTCCGACACAAGCAGTGGTGTGAACTCCTGGAAGTCCAAGGAACCCCCTGGGTGGGAGAATTTTTTTTTTCTGTCTGAGCAGATGGGGACTGCATGTGACTCCTCCACCTTGCCTGCTACTTCCTGCTCATCTCAGGCAGCATTGAGTTCAAGAAATTTCCAGAAGCTTTGGGGCCTCAGAGATACCATTAGGGGAACTTTAAACACTTGACAAATGTCCTTGAAGTAAGACTTCTCACGTTCAAGAAAACCCTGATTTGGTTTCTGCTTAAGCAAAGCCCACTACCATTCATTGATTGCTTTCCACCCTCTCGTTCCACCTTGCATCACCTTGGGAGCTGTCCCTGCTGTCGCCACCATGATGACAAACTGAATCTAAGGGGAAGCAACCATGACTTCCTAGCTGACAAGCTTAGGGGGATTAAGAGAAGGAGGGAAATCAGAGCAAAACCCGCTCACTTTATTGTTGGGGGAAGTGACATCCTGGAAAAAGGAGCAGTGTGGGGTCAGTGGGCTGGGCTAGCTCCTAACCCTTGGTGCAGGGGGCCTCTGCTCCCTAACAGTAGAGCAGGTGTCTCTGTGCCATCACCCACCAACAGGCGAGTTGTCTGCGGTCCTTCATCTGGCTGTTGGGTCACCAGGCATTTCACTGGACATACTCTCAAAGAAAATAAAAGGCAAGACAAAGCATTGGGCCGCTGACAAATGATCTGAGATACCATTATAGAACACTGTCAGACCAGTGGGTGGATGATAGATAGATAGATAGATAGACCAATAGGCCAATAGATAGATAGACTAATAGATAGACAGAAAGAATATAGTGTATATATATATAAATATAATATTTACTGCACTCTACATTTTCCTAATTCTTGCCATTATTTTTCAAAAGTTGAATAGCTTGCAGAAGTAGGTACTCAAGCCAAAGTCTCTTTACCCAGCATACCTTGCTAAGGGTCACTCAGAGCAGCCTTCTGTGTAAGTTGGGAATCCTTAGAATTGCAGCGATTTCCTTTTCTAGCAACATTTCCAATGCAGAAGAGACTGAGAATCAGAGCTTCCACCAGATATCACCTGTGGCGAACAACTTGAAAATGTATCCAGGAAGAATTTATTTTATTTTGTTTTATTTTTGCAGTCATCCATTTATTCCACCCTCCAATGAGTCAACAGCATTTATTGAGCACCGGACTGTGTGCCAGGCTGTGTGCTGCATGCTGGAAGCACAGTGGGGAGCCATGTAGATATAACCCATCCCTCCACCCCTGGACAACACTTGGTGGGAGGGCAATCAGGAGACAAGTAATTAAAAACAAGATGTGAGATAGAAATAACTAGTCTCCAGGTTAGCCAGGTTCATCATGAACAGTCTTTAGGGCTCTTCTTTCTCCCTGTAGTCCACTGTTGGAGGCTGAAGAAGAAGGAGAAGCAGCATCTCTTGACCCAGACATCTGTAACAGACACTAAGGGCAGTGGGTAGGGAAGGAGGGAGACAGGGTGGTGCCTTCTCTAAGGTCAAGGACATAGTCTCCATGCTTGCAAAGACACAAAATCAGGATCTGAGCAGAGACAAATAGCCACGTTGTCTCTTTACGTGGAGAGAGGGAGCTGGATTCAGGCTTGGTTCTGAGTTTAGCATCACCTGCTCTGGCCCTCAAGGGAACACAGCCCCCTGCCCAGTGCAGTGCCCTCAGCTGGACACAGCTTCCTTATTCTAGCCCAGCTGAGACTGATGATATTTCTCAAAATATATAAATGAAGTCAGAATAAAAGAGACTGAGAAGTAGAACCAAAGAAAGCCAAACACAGCCCAGGTTCACCATGGCTAATTGTCTACCGGGATCCAAGAATCCTCTTTTAATTTCATAGACTTCTCACCACCCTGTCCCTTTTCCAAGAGGGGGCCATGGTCACAGTGACTTTCCTGGTGGATGACTGGGAGGCCAGTGGAACTAATAACCCTCCTTGTCTGAGTGCAGCTATCCTCGTGTGGCTTCAGATTGTCCTGACCGAGGGGCCCATTCTCTCCCAGCTTCTAGGGTAGAAGGTGGCAGTGTTTGCTCTGGGCGTCTGCTCACAGGACAAAGTCTGTCAAAGGCAAGTCCTCCTCAGACCGTGTGGCTCTCTGCAGCATGAGTCGTCACGGTCACAGCAAGGAAAGGTTTCCAAAGTGGAGGCTTCTGGGAAGGGTGCTTGTGCTGGGTGCTCACAGACAGGAAAGTTCTGCGAAGGGTGATGATAGCCAAGGAGACCTGAAAAGCGACAGCTGCTCAGCGTCTAAGCCCCGGATGTTCATGCCTGCCTACTAGCCCACACACAGCCACAGTCTTCCCTTCAGACCTCAAAGGACCCTAAGATTGTTCCCGTCACACTGGGGCTCAAGATGTGTGGCAAACCCTCAGGACCACCGGAAGTCAATCTTGTTGCTTGCTTCAGAGTGAGGTGGCTGGCTCAGGGATTGCCCATCAGCTGGAGAAAGTGACGAGGCACATCCTTCATGTCCATTTGTTGGCTCGTTCCTGCAACAAACAATGGTGACCAGCCCACTGTGTGCCAGGCACTATCCTTGGTGCTAGAAACGCAATAGTGAAGACACAGATGAGGACCCCGCCTTCCTGGAGAGAAATCACAAATAAACAAGGCAATTGCTGGAAGCAGTAAATGAAGCGTGCCTGGGGAGATGATGGACGCACAGACAGCATTGAAGGAAGAGGAGGCATCTGAGCACCCAGGAAGTAACACATTGAGTGCCTGGGGGTGGAGCCTCCCGCAGCATAGCACAAGCTATGGGGCGTGGCAGGGGATGGCCCGCCCTTGGGAAAACAGCTCTGTCAGCGTCTTTAGCCTGCTGCTCCTTGGTCACCCTTACCCAGAGGTTTTCCTAATGCCAGTATTGTCTCTGTAGCTCTCCCCATCCACAAACACTGCGAGAGTGAGTAGGGAGCTCCATAGAGACTTTTTCTTTTTCCCCGCTCTCAAGGGAGCAGCCAAAGAGAAACAATTTTCGTGAAAGGTGTTTGCAAAGGGGAACGAGCCCAGCCATGAGAAATCCTCATGAGCCAAGGCCCATTAGGGACAAAGCTCGAAGCACGGGTGAGGACCAGGCAGACTCCACTGACTGCATCAGGCTTCACCCATCCTCGTCCCCTTGTGGTTGACACAGGTCTGGCTTCACCCAGGCGATCTGCTCCAGGCTAGCAAACACCAGGCGTTATTCTTGGCTGTTTGTCCTCTAATAAAATAGCCACCAGACCGTCCCTAGATGACGCAGGCTTATCTGTCATGTGCTCAGGTAAAAACCATGAATCCACTTCAGGGTGGGGACTCCAGGCCCAGCCTCCTTAGTAGCCCACCCTCTGATGTGCCCTGTGCAACTTGCACCAAACTCTAGTTAGTAACAAAAAACCACAGCCCAGAAATGCCAGGCTCCATCAGAGAATCACATTATTTTGTTTTGTTTCAAAGACTGCCTGTATAGACCTTACTTTAATTTTTTTTTCTGGTAGTTACAGGCCATAAACATCTTTTGCGAGAACCTTTGGCTAATAAGCACCTGATTTTAGCCTGCGGGTGGGTGGGTTTTTGAGCATCCCTTCAAAGCCCAGATTGCACCAGTGAGTGTGGGGTGAACAAGCAGTCAGCAGCTTTCTCTGAGCAATGATCTGATCTCCCCCATGGTCATGCTTCCTTCTTGGCAGCCAAGGGGGGCCGTGCAATGGGTTGTCTTTTTCAAAGACGAGGTCTCCCAGCCAGTTTTCTGCAGGACCATCCACCTATTGGTTAGTTTGGTGATATTATGTAGGATGAAGAAGTAGTTTTCAACTCAGTTCTTTTCAAAGCCAAAGAAAGCAAAACACCATACACACACACACACACACACGCACTCATTTCCTTAGAGAAATTCTATGACTTCCTTCCTTTCTTGGGAAAGCTCCAGCAAAGCCACCACACATTGAGACTATGAGAGGCAGGCTAGTAGGCACCGTGCAGCTGCTAACAGCTGTCAGCACAGGGCTCTTTCTGACTCTGCTCGTGAGCTGTCACAGGCCTCCCGCTACCTGGCGTGTCTTGGTCCTATTTCCTTCTTCTCTCTTACTCTGTGTCCATGTGTTTGCTTTCCATTTGACAGAGGGACAAGCGAGACACCTCCAACTTCGACAAAGAGTTCACCAGACAGCCTGTGGAACTGACTCCCACTGATAAGCTCTTCATCATGAACTTGGACCAAAATGAATTTGCTGGCTTCTCTTATACTAACCCAGAGTTTGTCATTAATGTGTAGGTGAATGCACACTCCATTGTTGAGCCTGGGGTGTAAGACTTCAGGCCAAGTGTATGTATCAATTCTAGTCTTCCAGGATCCACGGTGCATATGCTGGCATTCAACATATGGAGAGCTTGTCTTCCAGGGCTTCTCTTTGTATGTGTAGCTTGCTAGTTTGTTTTCTACATTTGAAAATGTTTAGTTTAGAGTAAGCGCATTATCCAATGTTAGAGGTACAATTTTCCAAACTTCCAGAAACTCATCAAATGAACAGACCATGTCAAAACTACTGTGTCTGATACCAAAATGCTTCAGTATTTGTAATTTTTAAAGTCAGAAGCTGATGTTCCTGGTAAAAGTTTTTACAGTTATTCTACAATATCTCCTTTGAATGCTAAGCATGACTGGTATTTTTAAAAGTTGTGAGTAAGCTTTGCAGTTACTGTGAACTATTGTCTCTTGGAGGACATTTTTTGTTTAAGAATTGATATGATTAAACTGAATTAATATATGCAAGCTCTCTTGCCTGTGTGTGTCTGTTTGTAAAAGGGACTCTCATCCAGAGATTATAAACCGCAGATCCACTGGCTGATGTGGCCAGGGGATGAGCTGTGTTTCATTTGCACACAGTCCTCATTAATTGAAGTCATTATCAACATTCTGGAAATAGGTATATAAATTGCTAGACTTTCAGATTCTCTTGGGGGGAAAACACCTGCAAACAGATAGCACTAGTCCTGTGTTACATGTGTAAATAATTTGACGGAACTAGAAACTGGCTGTCTCCTTGAAAAGCAGCATGTTCTCATTTGCCCACAACCTCCACCACCCCCTATGCTATCACACCCTTTATCCACTTCCTGGACTGCTGAGCAGTTGGAGGTTGAGACTTCTGTCATTTGAGAGACACAGGCTTGTTGACCTCAGTATTTTCCCTTACCCATTATCAGGGTATCTGGTCGACGTGGTTAGTGTTTATTACAAAGCATGGAGCACATAAAAAAAAATTCCATTCCAGCCATGGTGAAAGACAGCAGAGGGGCAGGCATTTAGCCCCCAACTCACATCTGGGTACCTGAGTTCAGCTCTCCTGACTCCAGCCTCCCACTCAACCCTCCAGACACTGGGAGGCTGCAGCGAGGGCTCAAGTAATTGGGTTCCTGCCACCCGCAGGGGAGACCTAGACTGAGTTGCTGGTTCCTGCCTCTGACCCCCATCTAGCCTCAACCACTGTGGGCATGAATTTGGGCAGTGAACCAGCAGCTATCATTACCTATCTATGTGTATCTGTCATCTAACTGTCCATCTATCTTTCAGTTGTCTATATCGTCCATCATCACCAATGTCTCTCTGTCTCTAACTCTTTGTCTCTGTCTCTTGGATAAACCAATACAAGTTCTTTTAAAAAGCCAGCAGAAGAGGAAAAGTCAGGTGTCATTACAGAGGTCACATTTCTGTGATTCACAAAGATGCCACTCTCTATAGAACATACATACTTAACCTTTCGATATTTTCTCCTAATTTAGCTTCCCATTTCTGCCTCCCAAGTCTCCTCCTGCCATAGAAAGGTGGGGTGTAGGTCCTTTTCTCAATACCTGGACATGTCCAGGGGGGCCAGGAGAGAAGCAGAAAATCAGGCATGCTGTCCACACCATCGGCACGTGAAGGATCCCTGCTCTCTCCAGGCAGAGTGGCACGGCACTGAATCACCGGGTGTCGGCTGGGTTCCTTCCTCTCTCAATGAAGTCATGCTTCTATTTTCTTTTGGAAAAATAGAGTAATCCAATCTGCAGCACATGTCTGTGGAGCTGCTGAGGCTGGTGGGTAGCAGAAAAGAGCAAACTTGTCACACTAAGTACTTTAGGAGATGCCACTGGGTTTGTTCATCTTTCTTCTTGGAGGAGCCCCAGGACACACAGGATTGGACAGATCCGGCGAATCCAAGGATCCCACCTCGTAAGTTCATCTCTGCAGGATTTGAGAAACTGCCAGTTAAAATCGGCAGAAGCCAACTTAAAGAAGAAACTGTGTGTTCTATGCATCACATTTAGAAAACAAAAATACACGGGTTTCTATGGATGTTTGACAATATGTTCCATCTCAGATGGCATCGGGGAAGGGTTTCCGATTTCTCCCTATTCCCCATGCTGGCTTTTCATCCTTTCTTCCTCTCCTAAACAGAAACCCATCTTTCATTTAATAAACATGGAATTCCTACTCTGAACCAGGCCCTGTTCTACATGTTAAAGTGGTTATAGAGATCCACACGTTAGTCTGGGACTTTCCACTCATGAGGACAAGGTGGCTGCAGAAGCACCAGTCTCTCATCTTCCTGGGATTGTGTCCAGTGAGAAAGAGTGAGAGCACCTGTAGAAGTCCGGCAGTTTTCTCTGATGGACTCAGCCAGGCCACGTGCACATTTCTGAACCAAGTACTGTGTCTGGGGTTGAGGTGCTTTGATTGTGTGACAAGTTGCTGAAAAACTTCATTTCAAAAAAAAAAAGATTTACTTTATTTGAGAGGAAAACACACAGAGAAAAATACAGAGACAGACCCACAAAGATGGATAGAGCTCTCATCCACTGTTCAGTCCCTTAAATGCCTATAATGACGGGGCTGGGCCAGGCTGAAGCTACGAACTCAATCTGCATCTCCACCTGGGTGTCAGGGACCCAAGTACTTGTGTGATTATCTGTAGCCTCCCAGGGCGCACATTAGCAGGGAGTTGGAATTGGGAACAGAGCCATTCAATCCCAATCCCAATTTGAATTGGGATTCAAACCCAGGTACACGGATGTAGGAGGGAGTTTTCCCAAGTGGCATCTTTTACTCTCCAGATGAAATGCTGCCCCTACCCTGAAGTTCTACCCACCAACCACTCAATGTCTGTGGATCAGGGATCTGGGTATGGCTTAGCCGATTGACAGTCTCTCATGAGGGTACCAACAGAAGGCCAGGGCTGTGGTCACACAGGAAGGGTTGGCCAGGGAGAGGTGGGATTCTCTTCCAAGCTTCTTCTCCTGGTTGTTGGCACCCTCAGTTCCTCACCACGTGGGCATCACTGTGGGGTGCCTCTGAACACAGCAGCTGGCTTCCCCTGGGGCCAGTGCTTCAAGAGAGAATGACCCTTTTGGCAACCACATTTCATTAGTAACCTAATCTGAGAACCTAAGCCAGCCTGCTGCTGGTTTCTGTTCTAAGAAGCTGAGCCCACTCCATGCTCAAGAGAAGGAGGTTACACAAGGTGAAGCTACTGGGGGACGAGGGGCCTTTGGGTGCCGTCTTAGATGCTGCCTACCATACACATCATGAGCTGCAGCCATTCAAAAAGATGAACTGGCAATGAATGAGGGAGGGAGCGCTCTCTGAATAAACGTTGGCGCCATTGTTGGCACAAAGGGTATATATGCTCAGGAGGCAAACCACAATGTGCATTCTTTTCAAAAAAAAATAAAATTATTTTATTTATTTGAGAGACAAAATTATAGAGAGAAAGGGGAAAAGAAAGAGAGTCTTCCATGCTCTGGTTCACTCCCCAAATGAGTGCCAGGATGGAGCCAGGAGCCAGGAACTCCATCTGGGTCTCCCATGTGGGTGGCAGGGGCCCAAGCCCTTGGGACATCTGCTGCTGCTTTTCCAGGAGCATTCGTGGGGCACTAGGTAGGAAGTGGAGCTGGGACTCGAATTGGCACTCATATAAGAGGCCAGTATCTCAGGGAGCAGCTTAACTCACTGCACCACATGCCAGCCCTGTGAACTCTTTATAGAGAGTAATTTGTAGCTAACTCAAAGATTATTTGGGCTATTGATATAGGAGAGGCCAACTCTGAGAAGCAATGAAAGGAGCGGCTCACCTGCTATTGCCTTGGTCTGCGAAGGTCTCCGCTGGTTCATAGTCAAGCTCGCCACCAAAGGTAGCAGCGTGAATTTGACCTTCTGTTGAGCTTTGGTCCTTCATCTTTAGGGTCTCATAATCCACCAGGAAGATGAGTTGGCAAAAACAAGCACATGATGTAAGTCCACACCAGTAATCTAATACTGAGTAACACATCACCTCAAATTATATTGGCTTAAAAAAGAAAACAAACATGGGGCTGGCACTGTGGCATAGCCCGTTACGCTGCTGCCTGTGGTGCCAGCATCTCATATGGGCACCAGTTCGATTCCCAGCTGTTCCACTTCCAATGCAGCTCCCTGCTAATGTGCCTGGAAAGCAGCAGAGGATGGCCCAAGTGCTTGGGACCCTGCCCCCATGTAGGAGACCTGGATGGAGTTCCTGGCTCCAGACTCCTGAACAGCTCTGGCCATTGCAGTCATTTGAGGGGTAAACCAGAGGATGGAAGACTTCTCTTCTCTTCTCTTCTCTTCTCTTCTCTTCTCTTCTCTTCTCTTCTCTTCTCTTCTCTTCTCTTCTCTTCTCTTCTCTCCTCTCCTCTCCTCTCCTCTCCTCTCCTCTCCTCTCCTCTCCTCTCCCCTCCCCTCCCCTCCCCTCCCCTCCCCTCCCCTCCCTCCCCTCCCCTCCCTTCCCTTCCCTTCCCTTCCCTTCCCTTCCCTTCCCTTCCCATCTCTCTCTCTTTCTCTCAGTAACTCTGCATTTCAAATAAAATAAATAAATCTTTTGAAAAGCAACAACTTGTATTGGCTCACTGTGCTGTTTTTCCTGGTCTGACTATCCCACCTCATCTCTGATGGGTCCCCCTACATGCCATCAGCTAGCCGGAGCATTAGCCGGTGATAACGTCTAGAATGGGCTCATCCACACGGACAGTGTCTGGCAGGCAGCTTGGTCCAGGAAGCTCGGTGTGACAGCACAGTTTTTCTCCTTGTGCAGGCTGGGAGAGGCTTCTTCAAACAGTGCTTTAATGACTCCGAAAAGCAGCCATGGGAGGGATGCCCAGTAGACAAGTCCTTT